TGTCTGTCATCACGTTTTGGGACAGTAAAAGTGTTTCGATTTTCCAAGGATATTCACTTTTACATCGGAAACCACCCCCAAAGTTTGAAATTGAAGCATTATTTCGACTAGTTATGCTGTACACAGACACAAAAACAAACATAAAAAAAAAAAACACACATCATTGTAAAATCAATACATTCATCACTTCGTTCAGAATCTAAAATAAATAACATAAGTTTTCACAAAATTGTAAATTCAACACTATAAACATGATACAGCATAGCGTTATAACTTATAATATTAATACAACGCACAGGTAATATAATAGGTGATATGATGTATTAATATGTATACTGGAGAATCGCCAAATATGGGATACAATATAATACTATGTATTATATCATAAATTAAGTGAAGTAGCGAGATCATATTATAAACAATTCAAAAAATAGTTGAAATAATTTTAGATTATTAAGTAGGTATATATACGTTTTAACCACGTGTGTATAGTGTGTTTCATAACTATCACTGTAGTTGTTGTCGGTTTTACATCACCTTTAAAAAGTACGAATAATTAATTATTTATTTTCATCAGACAAATTATGTATAATATAAGAATATTATTTGCATATTCCAATTTAATTTCATTATTATAAATTAAAATCGTCTAACATCGTTATTGTCTACGGGTACATATTTCATCAATCATATTTTATCAACCTGCCAACATCAACTGCCAATAGCGAGGGCTGTAATGAAATCGAAATAACAGGTAAACAATACTCGAGGTAGAACTTTCTATGTCAAAAAAACATTTACAATTAACTCAAAACCATAAATCTTTTAACAAATCCAAAACAACAGACACAATTACTAGTGAAACAGTGAAATATAACATTCAATCCATATCGAAAACTGTCATATAATCAAACAAAACAACAACAAAAAGTAAAAATAGTAAAAAATATTCACTGTAAACGTTAACTGAAGTCAAATATATTCACCGAAGCGTTGGGGTGGATGAGTTTTATACTAAAATGCAACACTAAGATAGATAAAAGGAACCTATTCAAAAACGTTGTATTACAAGGAGGTATTATCTAATAAAGCACTAAAACAGATCTATCCAAATCCAGGAAACAATAAATGAATAAAATAATTTATTATTTATAATTTAATTACATCCTATTCCAGGCTCGTAAAATGTCTCAAACACCTATTACATTGATAACGAGTTTGAGTATAATGTCAAATGACAATAGCATCGCTGAAGTATAAAATTGTATGTATTCGCTGTTAAAACCAAATTATCATAAATTAATAAAA